CCACCTGTTGTGGCTGCAAGTTTGGTGATGGCTCTATGTAAATAAACTCCTTGGAGAAGCAGGACTGGCTGATGAGATGGGGAGAGAATGTATTTTTATGCAACTTTTGAGTGGCCTTTCAAACCCTGAGATGAATGATTTGTTTTACTGGTTGTTGTTATATAGTATTATAAGTATTATGTGTTTGAAAGTTTGGGAATAATATTCACAGCTATGATGCTTGTAAACACAACAGTATTTATAAATGAATAAAGTAAGAGTTGATAAAATAGAAGCATTGACTTTGCTTCCATCTTTCTGGAATTACAAGTTGTCTGTGCTAAAATTCCGTTTCTCCCAAAATTCCCATGGCATAACGATATCCATCATCCATAAAAGCACAGAAGTTTTGCAGCTACAACACAGGTACCTTTTAGGGGAAGCTGAAATGAAGGAACTGGGATGGACATCCCTGAAAAGCACCCACCAGTGGGAAGATAAAACAGGAGAGGGTCCCATCTCTTCCTCAGCACCACACTGGGGATCAGGCCCATTTCCCAGTCTGGTTGCAAGCCCTGTTTTTGCTCTGCTCAGAAGTTTGGTCAGCACAAAGTGTGGCACGGGCAGGAGGTGGTGTCACATCTGGGAACCTCTGTCTCAGGTGAGGCTGCTGGAACCTCCACATGTTGCCGTCTTCAGAGGTGGTTGGTGCAGGTTGAGTTCTTCCCTTAGGGTTGGTGGAGCAGGATGTGACTGTGGACCAGACTCAGTGTGCTGGGGGTGAAGAATTCTGTGGGGACCTTTGGTATTTCCCACCTGTGCCCCAGGTCTGGTCCAGCCTTGCTCATCTGGGGTTCAAGGCTGCCCAGAGCACAAGTCAGAGGGAGCTGAGGGCCTCAGCCTGGAGAAAAGGAGGCTCGGGGGGACCTTCTGGCTCTGCACAGCTCCTGACAGGAGGGGACAGCTGGGTGATGTCGGGCTGTGCTCCCTGGGAACAGGGACAGGACAAGACGAAATGGCCTCAAGTTGTGCCAGGGAAGGTTTAGGTTGGAGACTGGGGAGAAGTTCTTTCCTGAAAAGGTTGTCAGGCAGTGGCAGAACTGCCCAGGGCAGCAGTGAAGTTGCCATCTCTGGAAGTGTTCAAATGGTGTGTGAATGAGACACCTGGGACATGATTCAGTGGTAAACATGGCAGTGCTGGGTTAGCAGTTTAACTCCACGATCTTAGAGGGCCTTTCCAACCTCAGTGATTTCATGATTCCGTGTTTTGGGGAGCCTGGGCCCTTGTGGGGTTCCACCCACACCTCCATCCCTCCATCATCCCTGGGCTCACTGCCCTGGCTCTTGCCCCTCACCACGGATGCCCCGTGAGCCCCAGCAGCAAGACCAGAAGGGAATCGGCTCCTTTCAGCTCGTTTCTTTAATAAGGAGACGTAAATCATTACAAAATAACCATCAAACAATCAGAGACGGAACAACAGAGTCCACACGAGGGGAAGGGGCATTAAAAGCAGCTTCTGCCGGAGCCGAGCGCTGCGGGGCTGGGACGGTCCGAGCGGGGCCGGCACTGCAGCTCCAAGAGTGGCCAAGCCTGCGACTCCCAAAGGAGCTGGCTCCTCCGTCCCAGATCGGGAGAAAAAAGGAACCCGAGCCTGTTGCCAAGGCTCGTGGATTCACTTCCTTAACCCCGGCAGCATCTCCGTGGCACAGCTGGGTTTGCTCCACGGTGCCACCAGGAGAGGGAAGTGCCAGCTCTCGTCCCCAAAACAGAAACCACCGACTGGACATGGCAGAAATAACCCAAATTGCCCCAAAAAGCCTTTTCACCACCAGCAGGTCGACCCCAACATCTGTGCCCAGCGTTGTCCCGTCCCCTCACCTGGCGTGACAGCGGCACCCAAGGCCAGCAGGGCGGTGGCCGCTGTGGCTCCTGGCAGCCTGAGCCCCACGAAACCGGGGGGATGTGGACACATGGAGGGAAGGGGGTCACGGCTCACCGTGGGCCTGTCCCCGTGGGGTCCCGGTGCACCGTGCTCTAATATGGCTTCTAAAGTTGCTCTGACGGTGAAACGCACCAACGCGACACAGGACACCAAAGCCACGATGTAGCTGCTACCCGGCCATGGGACAAACGCGACAAGACACAGGAACACGACACACATGGACACCACGGCCGCGTCGGTGATAGCTCACTCTCCGCTGGCGGGTCGGGCTTGGCATGCTTTGCTTCTTGGCATTATTTTCTTTTATATGATTGAATTGGGGATTTTCATTTTAATTAGGGGGAAAAAAATCAGGGCGGTGGAGAGCTCTCGAGCGATGGGTTTTGGTAGGGGCCGCCTCCTCCCTGGCGGGAGGCTGGAGATGGGGACGGCAGTGCCAGGAGGGTGGCAGCCGCCGGGCTGGGGCCATGCTGCTACTGCTACGTGGCTGCGTCACATGCACTGCTCGTGGTATATACAGCTATGTCTCCATATAATTTACCTACACACAGCTAAGGGGCGGGTCAGAGGCAGCGCAGATGGCTTCAGGATGTTGGTTGGTTTTCCCTTTTTTATTAAAAAAAAAATTAAATCATGTATTAAAGTCACAGTCTTCCCCCTCCAAGGCTTAAAGAGTCTGAATGGAAAGCAGCCAGGTGGGATCACCACTCCTGGCCTGGATCCCCGGACCCTGGCCGATGCGGTGGGTCTGGGGGCGGAGGGGTGGAGGGGAGCACACAGGAGGGGGTGCGTCTGGGGTGTGCAGGTGTGATGTGCAGGTGTGCAGATGTGCAGATGTGCAGGTGTGCAGATGTGCAGGTGTACACACCTCCACCTGCTTCCCTGGGAAGGCTGTGGGGCCATGCACACTCGCTGGCTGCAAACAGTAGAATTTCAGTGCTTTTTCTAATTCCTCTTCTTTTAACCCACTCCATGTAAGGCAAATGCCCCCACACACCCCACACCCCCCTGCCCCCGACAACTGGATGGACCCCAAAATGAGACTGAGTCCTACCAGTGCTCCTGGCCATGGGGCATCGGCCCCCCTCCAGCTCCCCATTATTAAAAGCATACAAAGACTTCTTCTCCCTCTGGCTACAGGGCAGGGCAGGACCCCCGCTTCTGTTGACACTGACACATTCATTAGGAAAAGGGACTAATTAAAGCTGGAGATGGCCCTGAGAGACCACTGGCTGGATGACCCCTGCAGACCCATCATGGCCCCGGTGCCACCTTCACCAGGGCATGGGCCAAGTGCAGCTGCAGTGGTGGTGGAGGTGGTCATTAGAGGTCCCTGTCCAACATCCCCTTCCCACACTGCAGCTTGGCCATCCGAGCCCCAAACCTCCCTCGGATGGAGATGGCCTGCCCTGGGGACCTGTCCCAGAGCTGCACAGCCCTCCAGGGACAGGGGCTGGTCCCCATGTCCATTTGAACCCCCTGAGCCAAGTTTCAAACCCGGTGACTGCCACCAAGTTTCCCATCATCTCCCCACCTCTGGAGAGGGCCAGGATGCCCTTTGGGAAGTCAGAGCTGTGGGAGCTGCTAAAGCATCCAACAGCACTGGGATGAGCTCAGTTTTGGCACTGTGTCCCTGGACCCGGGTCCCAGCCCAGGTGTTGAATGCCCAGAGCAGCGTCCCCAGTGCCAGCACATCCCTGGGGCTCAACCCTTCACTGCTGTGGTGCTGGAACCCCCACACTGAGTCCAGGGAAGCCAAAGGGAGCAGAGCGTGAGGCTGCTGTGGAGCTGGAGCTGGGACAGGGACATGAGCTAACATCAGTGCTCCAGTACAGACTGGACTGAACTGGGCAGGGCTGCTGGACCCTCTCCCAGCTGCAGAGAACTGTGTTGGCTTTCTGGCTCAGGGGCTTTTCTGGGACAGTGGGAGAAGTTGCCTAGAGAAGCTCTTAGCCACTGTCAGGGTCATGGATATGGCTTATACCCTCAAGGGGAGCAGGACGGGGTGGGTTTAGCAGCCAATGGCCTGGTGGGGAGTAACAGCTCATGGGGGTCAGGAGCTTTGGTCCCTTGTTGGCCCCAGGCTTGCTCTTGCCATCCCCACCTGCAGCAGGTGGTGGGGCTGGAGCTCCCCATGGCCCCCTGGCTGTCCTAAGGCTGAGGTGCCCACAGCAATGATGGGACATGCGATGGACAGTCTCTGGGGAGACACCTGGTGCAGCTCTGGGGGGTTGCCCCCATCACATCTGGAGACCTCTCATTGTAAACCTGCCTTGTGGAAGCATTTTGATCTATGGGATTCACCAAGCATGGTGGGACACAGATGCAAATCACCCAGCGCTGCCCCTCTGAGGTGGTGGTGCTGCTGCTGGTGGTGATCCACACAGTGCTGCTGGTGCATCCACATTTCCCCCTGTGTCTCCTTGGAGCAGCCCTCCTGAGGATCCTTGTGCCCACACTGGCCTCCACAGCTCCTGCTGCAACACTGAGGGCTTGGCACCCCACCACCCCAGCAGGATCCATGGCCCCTGCAAGCCTCTCCTCAGAGAACCCAAACCTGGAGCTGGCCAGGGGCACTCAGCCTTCCTTGAGGAGGGCCGGGGAGGCACCCAGGTCTCTTCAGAGGGTGTTCTGCACCATTTTTCTGTCTCACTGCTGGTCATGCCCCAACCAAGCACAGTGGATCTGGTCATCTTGCACCATCAGGCTCCAGTGCATCACCTCCATGCAACGTTCCACAGTTCCCCACGTGATCCCAAGGGCAGGATGGTGGCAGCAATGCTGCAGGCTGGTGACACAGCTGCTGGGGAAGGTCCCAGGCATGCCGCTGGCTTTGGAAGGGATGGCGAGCAGAGGCAATGGGACATGCAGCAGAAGGGAGCGATGCTGAAGAACAAAAAGAACCATCCATGTCTTTAACCTCTTCCCCTGGAAGCTATTGGGACTGCCTGGATACCCTTCCAGAGGCATCGAAGGGCATTTCAGCTTAGAACAAAAACCAAAAGGAAGGTTGCAGAACTGAGGTATCAGTAGCTCTGGGTCAACTGTCCGCAGCGCCGCGCCGGCCGGCAGAGCTGCCTATTTGTTCTTCCCGAGAGCTGCATCTACTTCTTCCTCTGGCTTCAGCGAGTGCCACTGGGCGATGGGCCGCCGCGGGTTGGCCAGCATGTCGGACCAGTGCCGCAGCTCCGTGCCGGTGGAGTTCAAGCCCGTGAAGATCTTGCCGATGGCTTCGTTCTTCCCCAGCTTGTCGTAGTCCAGCACTGTGATGACCACTTGCACTTTCTAAAGGAGGAAACCTTTTTTAGAGGGGTGGAAAGGTGCAGTGGCCATGACAGCTCCACAGCCCCAGCGTGCCCCGGGGATCCCCCAAGGATGAGCCCCACTGTGTCCCATTTTGGGGCAGGGCCTCCTCCCTGCTTCCTTCATGTCCTTCTCTGAGGACTGCAGAGCTCAGTGGGGTCCCAGCTCATCCTGAGCTGATTCACCTGGGAAGGGTCACCAAGGTGTGGTGTGGGGCTGGGTAAGAGTTGTGGGCTACTGGGCAGGGGCAAGGGGCATGTGCGGGGACTTGCACAGGACATGGACGGGAAGAGGGCAGTGGCCAAGAGTCCAAAATGCCCCCAGGACAACCCTGTTATGCTTAGGGTGAGCACTGTAGGATCAGGAGCAGAGGAAAGCCCTATTTCAGCTGTGATCTGGGTTGGGGTTCATCTCCCATGGGCACTGCCCAGCCTCCCACCTCTGCCCCCACACCAGCTGCCCTCAGCATCAGCCCAGGCCCCAGATGAGACTGGAGGAATCTCCTGGGTAACCAGACCAGGAGCTCAGCAGGAGCGGCTCAGGTTGATGGGAAGGCTGGGATGAGGGCTCAGGCAGCTTTAGGACATCTTCCATCCCAGAGGAGTCATCAGACAAACCTGTATCTGCTCAAAGGGGATCTCAAAGCTGAAGGACTCATTGAAGTAGGGGTTCAGGGTCTTCTTCTTGACTGTGGTCTTCTTCTTCTTCAACCTCTTGCCATTCTGCAGCAGGTGGATCTTCACGTAGGGATCTGGGGGTCAAGATGGGGCTTTAGCCAGGGCTGAGGTGCCCTGGGGATACCTCTGGGATACCTCCTGGTCCCAGGAGATAGCTCAGGGTGAGGGAGAGACTGCCCTGAGACAGTCTGAGGTTTGTGGATGGATGCCAAAGACAAAATGGTTGGGCTGGAGATTTGTGGGAGCCAGCCAAGGGATGGAGCTCTTCTGCATTCAGCAGAGCTGGGGAAGGATCTGGAGAGTCAGGAGAGTGAGGAGAGGCTGAAGGAGCTAGGGAGCTCAGCCTGGAGAAAAGGAGGCTCAGGGGGACCTTCTCATTCTCCACAGCTCCCTGACAGGAGGGGGCAGCCAGGGGGGATCAGGCTCTGCTCCCATGGAACAAGGGACAGGAAAAGAGGAAACAGCCTCAAGCTGAGACAGGGGAGGTTCAGGCTGGACACCAAGACTTTGTTTATGGAAAAGATGTTCAGGCATTGGAACTGCCCAGAGAGGTTGTGGAGTCCCCATCCTTGGAGCTGTCCAAGCAATGCCTGGACATGGCACTCAGTGCTCTGGTTTGGGTGAAAAGGTGGGGACCAGGCACAAGTTGAACTTGATGGTCCTGGAGGTCTTTCCCAACAGTAACGATTCTGGGATTCTGTGCTGTGGACACAGCAGGGGAAGGCAGGGGACAGTAGAGTGACAACTGGCCTGTCAGGTGAGTGACATTGGGAGGGTTTTGGCCTGACCCCTGTTTCTGGAGCTGGAAAGCCCACAATAAAGCTGAATCCTTCCAGCCATGCAGGTACTGCTCTTGTCGTGGTTGAAGCACATCTGGAGAGAGCTGAGGATCCCTGGGCACAGAGCTCAGCCCCAGGATGGGACTGGGAAAACACTTCAAGCTCAAAACATGCTGTCAACACGAGGTCAAAGAGGAGCAGGACCAGGAGCAAATGGCAGAGGAGCACTTTCACCACCCAGGTCCTGCAGCATACTGGGGGACCAAATGTGAAGGATCCTTCCCAAGAGTTGGGGATGCATCCCATGCCCATCTCCCCTCACCCCCCAGCCAGACCTGGGGCTGCCTCCGAGGCATGAGGAGGCACTGGGGGTTTTCCCAAGCTCTGCCACACAGGTGGCCCCAGAGTCCTTTCCCACAGAGGATGCTGAGAGCCCCCAGCAGGGCAGGGGGAGGCTGCCTCTGAGTGACACCCACCTGAGAGGCCCCCAACATCCATCTTCTTCAGGTTCTTGGCTTCCAGGATGCAAACAGTGAGCTTCCCAGCCGTGGGCACGTACCGGAGGGAGATGCAGATATCTCCCAGCTTCTCTGGCTGCCAAGCAGAGCAAGGAGGGGAGATCAAAGCCTTGCCAGTGCCTGGGACTCCAGTGGTTGGACACAATCACACATGCAGGTCTCCCCAAACCCTGCTCAGTCCAGGCACAAGCTGGCACCCCATGCATCAACACAAGAGTTTGATCACTGGGTCCAGGACAAGCTTGGCCCAGCACAGCACTCGAGATATTTTATAGTCTTGATTTTTTTGTTATAGAAACATTTTCACACAGAGGAACAACAGGTTAGATCCCAGTAATGACTGCCAGGATGTTCATGGTGCCCTGGTGGGACCCCACCGTGATCAGGACCCTGAGCTGTGGGATGGCCCTTAAAGCAGAGCTCACCCCATGGCCAGCCCCCAGCCCAGGCCCCCAGCCAGGGGTTCAGCTGGCTGCAGGCTGGCCCTCACCTCCTCCTTCTCGCCGCTCTGCAGGTCCCGCCACTCCTCGATGGGCTGGCCCAGGTCCACTGTGTTCATGGGCACCTTCACCTCACCGATGATGTCGTGCTTGGAGAAGCGATCAAAGTCGTAGATGGCCATCACCAGTGTCTTCCCACCCAGCTCCTGGTAGGGCACCTGCACAAAGGGGCAACAACCAAGCTGCAAGGGAGACCCTGAGCCAGGACACCTGCTCCTGGAAAGGAGAGTCAGCACACAGGACTGCTACAGCCAGGTGGAAGGACTGGAGTGGGAGACAAGGTCCTGTGTTATGGATGCAGGGGCTCACCTTGAAAGTGAAGGTCTCATTGAAGGCAGGGTTGAGGGTCTTCTTCTGCACTTTGGTCTCATACTTTTTCTTTTTGTCAGGGAGCAGGAACACCTTGACATAGGGGTCTGAGGTGCCACCCATGTCCAAAGCTGGCAGTTCGGCAGCTTGGAGGATCCCCACTGTGAGCTGGAAGGGCAGAGGAGTCCTCAGTGAGACAGCCCAGCCATGCAGTGCAGCTGCCAAGGTTCATCTCCAGTCCAACATGGGGCAGGACTTCCTATGACAGCACCCACCTAGCTCCTCCTTCCCTCTTGTGCCTCCCAGGTCCAGCACAGAGACCTGTCCTCCTCTCAACTCCCACCCTGGGCAAACCCCACTCCTCAGCTGAGTCCCAGCCCCTCCATCACCTGGTTTGCCTGGAAATCATAGTCCAGTGAGAACTGCAGCTTGCCCAGGTTCTCTGGCTCCTTCTCCTCTTCCTCACCTTCCCCCTCTGTCAGACCCGTCTCTGCATCATCGTCGTCCTGTTGGTCCTGCAATGGCAGCCAAGGTGTCCAGCTCAGCAGAACGGTCACAGCCCAGCAGCCCCAGGCCCACAGCTCTGGGGACCTCAGCACCCCGACCCTCCTGGCATCTCAACACCCAGATTCTCCCCACCAGAGGAAAGGAGACCCACGTGCTGGGGACATGAAGCACGGACAGAGCAGGCTGGGGGTGGCACTGGCTGTGCCACAGCCACGCAGCTCCCAGGGAGGCCCCGGTGCTGGTCCAGCCAAAATGACAGGGGGGCTGCCAGGGGTGCCAGGACAAGGGATTGACTGCAGTGGAGGGAGGTTTGGTGCTTGCAGGTGGTGGGTCCTCTGCCCCCCAGCCCGTGCTTGGAGGAGCACTACAGCCAGAGCTAAGGGCTTATCAGGGCCATTTCCAGGCTTTGTAGGCTCAGAAATAGATTGTCCCCAGGAAATCCACCCCTCTTCCTGCCTCTCCAAGCACAGTCCAGGGGGTGGGAGTCCCAGCTCCTTGCCCCCTCTTTGACGTGTCCTCAGTCCCCCATCCCACCCAGGAAGCAGATGATGGAGAAGGAGGCTCATGGTGCCACTTACGTGGAGGGTGTCCCCGAGCAGAGAGGCAGCCAGGGCAGGACAGCGAGGGCACCGTGGGCAAAGAGAGACACGTTACACAGACACTGAGGGACCGTGGCAGGGTGGGGCATCCACCTGCAGAGCCCCACAGGATGCAGCCCTGGCTCTCCAGTGGGGAATCCCACCTCACACCTGCCCCCTCTCCTGCTCCAGCCCTGTCTGCATGCCCATGGTGCCCACATGGCTCTGAAGAGAAGGCACAGATACCCAAATTCCCCCACCCCCTCCAAATGGCCATGGGTCAAGGCCATTGAAATGGCTGGGGTGGCCCCAAGCCTGTGGGTACCAAAGCCTGCCTTGGGCTGGCCACCAGGATGAGTTACCAGCACCTGCCACTTCACCTCAGACGTTCTGGGGATCCCAAAGTGCCCAGTGTTTTGGCCTGGTGGGCCTCCCCTCTCAGCTAAAGGCTCAGAGAAATGAGTCTGACCCAGAGGGAGGTAGGATTAAATCAACATTTCCTGGCTCAGGTGAAGCACTGGCAGGTCCAGGCCAGCTTGAGCCTGGTCCGTCTGTGCCACCAGACTCTGGAAGAGGACAGTGCTGCTGTCTCAGGTCCTGGCTCTACTGTCCCATCCCAGGCTCCATCCCAATCTGCTGCCTGATCTATGGGTGCCCTGACATAGTCCATAACTCAGCCAGAGGGGCTGTTGGCCAAGCAGCCCAGGAGGACATCACCTGGTTGCCTGACTTCATGTCCTTCATGTTCATGGCATTCTTCATGCCTTTGCCCTTCTCCTTCTTGTTCTTCTTCTTCTTGCAGCAGCACTTCTTGCAGATGCAGAAGCAACAGGTGAGGATGAGGAGTCCAGCCACGACTGCGATGGCGATGAGGGCCCAGGGTGGCACTGTGGGTAAAAGCCAGTGTCGTGGTCAGCCCTGTAGCTCCCTCCCAGCCACCCAAAAACCTTGTTCCACAGGTTTTACTGGGACCAGTGTGGTGGGGAGGTCATCAGGAGGGTAACACCTGGGAAAGGAGCTACTTACAGGGGATCTTGTTGAGCTCATTCATGAACTTGTCCCTCAGCTTGGTGAACATGTCCTCCTTGCTCTCGCCCGGCCCCGCAGCTTCAGTGGAGTTCTCCATCGTGCTCATGGGCAGCGTGCTGGCCGTGGCCTCTGGGGCCATCATGGATGCTTGCTTGAACGTCATGGTGGGTCGGGGCTCCCTGGAACACATCATGGTGGGTCACACAGCTCCCTGCTGCCCCACTGCTCCCCAGTGTCCCCAGGACAGCACCTGCGTGGGCAGCAGGGCTGCACCACAACACCTCATCTTCTATTAGAGGGGCACAAACCCAATGTCTGTGAAAGGTCACCTGGACCCCTCACAAGCCATGGGAAGCCCAGCTGGCCCCTGGGTTTCCTGGTCCTTGACATCTCCAAAGCCACTGGGAGCATCACCCAGCCTTGCATCAATGATGGTGCCAGCTCCGAGCCTCTTGGGGACAATGGGGACACTCCTGGGAGGAGTACACCTGCAAGGCCCCTTGGGATGAGGGGAGGGGGTTTGCATCTCCAGGAGAGAAGAATGAGGTCAGTTGGGACAAATCCAGCCCCCCCATCTCCTCCTCTTCTCAGGCAGGGACCCCAAGCATGGGGCACCCACGGGGACCCAGCACTGGTGTGGCACCCTCAGGACTTGCTCCCAGCCCCAGGGCAGCTTCCAAGTCTGGGAACAGCAGTAACACACTGCTCTTCTTCCAGCCCCAGAGAGCTTTGGCAGGGCACATTTTGAGGATGGATGGAAGCAGGGAAGAGCTGGCTCCACACAGCAGTGGCAGGGTCCGTGTGCAGGTCAGTGGGTCAACTCACATGTCACAGATACCATGTCCTGGGTGCCACACCTCCCAACCCCACAGGGCTCCCCTGGCCAGCTCTGCTCCTCCATGGAGCCAGGGAAGGTGTTCAGGTCACAGCCAGGGCTCCAAAACATCCCAACGCTCTGCACCCCACCCCCAGCCCAGCTGGGTCTGAGCACCCGCCAAGGATGGGGACAGCCATCATCTTGTAAATGTGGCTTTGACTCCAGCAGGCCAACATTGTACAAAGTACCCCCACAACCCCAGCTCCAGCCACACAAAGTGCCACCACAACCCCCTGAGAAAGCAGCTTGCAAGAGAAGACCAAAGCAGGGAAGAATGCCAGGGAATGCACAACGCCAGTGGGGTTAAGGAGAGCACCAGGCTCTCCAGCAGGGGAAGCAGAGATGAGCAGGATCACAGATAACCCAGGAAGGAGTTTCTGGGGGCAGGTGAGCTGTGGCTTGAGTGCACCCCCTTCCTTCTTTCCTCCTCACCCTCAAGAAGTCTCTTGGCCAGCGCAAAATCCCCTGGGGCCAGGTGCTCCTCTGCCTTTCCTGCAGAACTCAGAAAGGAGTGCTCTCACCTCAAAAAAGGCAGCCAGAGAGACCTGGGGGTGTTGCTGCCCCAAACTGACACTGCCGTGTGTCTCCAGCCACCTCGCAGGTGAACCAAGCTCTGAATTACCCAGAGTGTGGCTCCACACCTGGACACCTTCCTCCTGCACCACTGCTCCTGGGGGAATGTGGTGTGGGGGTCTAGGGGGGCCCCCCATGAGGCAGAGGCAGTCCTTCACACAGCAAAATGTGATTATGTGACTCCCACCTAGACAAAGTCCCTGCTGCAAGCCTGCAGCTTTGTCACCCTTGGCCACAGCCACCTTCCCACCCCACTGAGGGGCTGTCACAGCCCAAACACCAGCATCAGCATCACCTAGCCCTGAAAGCTGGCACTGGGGGACTAGAGCAGGATGCTGGAGGTTTCCCACAAGCCCACATCCTTCTTGGGATGAACGAGGAGCTGCTGCATTCAACCCCTTCCCAGCTGAGGGTTATTTGATCTTGAGGGCCTCAAAGGTTCCCAAAGCTTCCAGCAGCTGAGGTGACCTGGACGTGTGTCTGGGTCTGTCCCCACCACTTGAGAGGTTTGTCCCCATCACTACCCATGTGCACCAGGGTGGGTGGGAGGAGAGACAGGATTTGGAAACAAAAGGCTGCTGCAGGTAACCTCCGAGTGCTGGATCCTGCCCCCTTGGTCTGGGGCAGGGGTCCTGGCTGTGCCCTGCACCCAGGGACAAAGGGTGTGGGGTCCAGGCCACTGACCCCCTGCAAGCTCCCCAGAAAACAGGAGGTGGGGGACCCCAGGGCTGCACCCCACCACAGCACACCCCAAGGCACCCACTCTGCACCCAAAGCTGCCACACAAGGTGGGCAGCACCCAGAGGGGGCACCTGGCTGAGCCGCCTGTCCTCCCAGTCCTCGGGCGCTGATGCCAGCACTGCCGGGGGGCAGGAGAGCCCCGCTGCGATCCGGGACGCGAGATGATGATCTCGGTGCTGCTCCTGCAGCGCGGAGCCACCATCCAGCGGGGATGGCGGTACAGCGGGGAGTGCCCAGCGCCCGCAGCGGGCACACCCTGACGCCCGACTGCCACAGGTGGGCACGGGCAGAGGCAGGCGTGCCGGGGGTGTCTGTGCACCTGTGAGCGAGTTGGGGTGGGCGTCAGTGTGCAAGGGCCGTGCATGTGCACGGAGAGTGTCTGTGCGTGTCTGCACACGGGTGGAAATGGAGGTGCAAGCGTGTCTGTGCACTTGTGCAAGCAGGAGTGCATGGGACATGCAAATGTGTGAAGGTGAGAACACTTGTGCAAGGTGTGTGCACAGGGTATGAATGTGTGTGTGTGTGTGTGTGTGTGTGTGTGTGTAAATGTGCATAGGGTATGAAATGTGTGTGTGTGTGTAAATATGCACTGGGTATGAATGCATGCGTGTGTGTGTGTGCGTGTGAACGTGCACAGGGTATGTAAATACTTGTGCATTGCATGTGTGTGTGAATGTTCATGCCTGGGCATGTGCCCGTGGCCATGCACAGGTGCGAACACACCTGCCCGGGCTGTGTGTGTGTGCCCGGGCTGTGTGTGAGCCCACAGGCAGTGTGTGCCCGGGGCTGTCCCCGGGGCTGTGCACCCCTGCCCGGGCTGTGTTTTGTCCGCTCGGGCAGGGCCCGTGTGACTCTGCCAGCAGCCAGCCGTGGCTGTGCGTGCCCCCACCCTGCGAGGCAGGTATGAATGCATGCGTGTGTGTGTGTGCGTGTGAACGTGCACAGGGTATGTAAATACTTGTGCATTGCGTGTGTGTGTGAATGTTCATGCCTGGGCATGTGCCCGTGGCCATGCACAGGTGCGAGCACACCTGCCCGGGCTGTGTGTGAGTGCCCGGGCTGTGTGTGAGCCCACAGGCAGTGTGTGCCCGGGGCTGTCCCCGGGGCTGTGCACCCCTGCCCGGGCTGTGTTTTGTCCGCTCGGGCAGGGCCCGTGTGACTCTGCCAGCAGCCAGCCGTGGCTGTGCGTGCCCCCACCCTGCGAGGCAGTGCCCGCAGCCCGTGCAAGGCTGGCACACACCTGCCCAGCCCCGAGTGCCAGCGGGCAGGAGCGGGGTGCCAGGGGGCAGAGATGCAGCACAGACACTTGGCCAGGGAACTGCTGCTTCGGGGGCTGCTGGGGGTCCTCCGCGGGACTGGAGGCTGCAGGCAGCATCAGGCCTCGCTGGAGGGGTTGCTTTTGAACCGGGCAACCTAATTAGCATCACTAATTGCTCCCTTGTGGTGCTCACCGGGCCCTGGCAGAGCTGAGGCCCGGGGGACCTGAGGCCCGGACGGCGCCTGCGGGGAGCCATCCAATGGCGCCGCTGTTGCTGCTGCCCCTGCAGCCGAGCGCCCTACAGGCCCTGCCATGGGGACGGGGCTGATCCTGCCCTCAGGCCAGGGCACCGGGCTTTGGTCTGCCTCCCGCGCGGGCAGGGCGGGGCAGTGCCACGGGGGCAGCCGGGGAGGACAAGGAGCGGGGCACTCTGTGGGGCACGGAGAGCAGTGGGGCAGTGTGATTTTGGGGATGTCCCCTCACCTCCGGGGCCCAGTCCCCACTGTGCCACCGCCTCACTGGGTGTCCCCGGGCACATCCCGTGTCCCCAGCAGGCACAGGCGGGCAGCCCATCCCCTCAGCTGTGGGGGCAGAGCTGCTTGCACCCAGGGCGCGGATTCTCGGTGCGTGGGGCCCGTGCCAGCCGCTGTCCCAGCCCCAGCCCCTTCCCCGGCAGCGGGCGGGGGCCGTGCAGGCACGGCTGCGGCACTGCATTGCAGTCCTGCTCCGGCTCCGCTGCCTGCTTCTTTTTTTTTTTTTTTTTTCCTCTCATTCCTTTTGCAATTTTTTTCCCTCCTCTTTGCAAGTTGCGGCAGCCGCTGGCGAGGAGCCGAGCGGCCGGCGGTGCGGGTGGGAAGGGAGCTCGGCCCCCGCAATCGCCACCGCACCCAAACCCTGCTGGGCTGCCCCTGCCGAGCACTCGCTGCCGTTCTTCAAGTTTCCTCTTTTTTCCTGCCTGGTTTGGAGTTGTTCCCCGCCAACCCCCACTGCTCCCATCACCCCCCGCCAAGATCGCAGGTTAGGGACATAAAGAAAATATGAGGGTTATAATTAACCATTTCTATCAGTCCTTGGCCGAAGAACAAGCGTGGGTTATGGCATCGTGAATAAATCCTGGCTAGGAAGGGACCGCATGCTGCCTTGCTGGTCCCTGGGGATCCCCCTGCCCCTCCGTGGGGTGCAGCACCCATCAGGGGAGGTTGATGGGAATAGTAGGACCCACTGCACCCCTCCTCCCACAAAAAAAAACCCACCAGGAGCTCCCCATGGAGCAGGAGAGGCTTCAGCTCGGCAGCTGCTGCAGAGAGCCCGCAGGGGCAGAGGGTGGGGAGGGTGGCACATCACCCGTGCACCTCCCTTACACTGCCCCTGCGGTGTGGGGGTCCCCACAGCCCCCCAGCTGCCACCTCTGCCCCCACAGGGCTTTATCTTGCTCCATGTTGCTCCAGCCCCCAAGTGTGTAACCTTGAACCCCACCAAACCCATCACCCCCACGGTGCATTTCTCCCCTACTGCACCCCCCTGCAGCCCCCAATGCCTCATGCTGCATCCCTCAGTGCAGCACCCCAAATCCACCACTGCAGCACCCCCCCCCCAAGGACATCCCATATCCTGTGCCTGCAGCAGTTCCCAGACCCCCAATCTGTCACCCCAGCCCCACTTCATGTCTGCACCTGCATGCTGCACCACCTTCAGAGCCCCTAAAACCCTGCTG